AACAGAGAATCGTATTCTTACGTTAACGACTGAATCGTGAATTCTGCAGAGTGCTATACCAATTACCACAGCTATAGTGGACTACGCTTACGTGTGTCGATATGATGTTATGTATGTTACACGCAGTGTCAGACAAAAGAAAAAAAAAAAAAAGAAAAGATAAAATTATACCGCCGGAGAGGAAAAAAGGCGTGGAACTTCGTGGATTGGGGCCACGAAACTGGAGGCAGGATTCTCAAGGTCGTCGTGTCCCTTAGGCGAACGTTCGCACGATGGGATGATCCTTGGATAGGAACAAAGACCGCGTAGATCAGCGTCTAGATCGTGTTGCGAAAATACGTGTTTCGAGAAAAGAGGGAATCCTGCAACGTGGTAGAGCGAATATCTGTATATATACGGAATGGTAATTAATTTCGCGCTAAATTTAATAAATTCGCTGGATTTGAAGGAAGTCCAGAGGAGGAGTGAAAGGGGAACGATGCGTGAGTGACAGAATGACTGAGGTAACGTTCTAGCGTATCCACGAGGCATTCGAAGATTAAAAAAAAAAAAATAAATAAAAAGACAAACAAGCTATAGAGAGCTTAAATGTATAACTTACACGTGTATTCTCGGATGTACAGATTAGAGAAACGAGACGAGGATGACCAGACCACACGAAACAAACACGTAATACACGCATTATATAGAAGAGACACATATAGGAATTCACGCGATGGAATGTACACGTGTGTGAGTACTTGCACGCGTGCACGTATATGCGTACATAAACACAGACGCGCGTACAGATACACGGACACTTACTTACACGAGCAGCAGGTAATAGGAAGTTTATTTTTTATGGCGAAGTATAAAAGAGTTTGCACCTTTTTGAAACGAAGGCGATTAAATGTGTTAGCGCGACCGTCCTTTAAAATCCACGGGAGAAAAAAGAGATCGAGACGAATCTATCGAGCTACGTACCAATTTTGAGACTCGCGATAAGAAAACGGTATATATAATATATACATATATATGTGTGTGTGTGTGTGTATATATTATTGTACGCACAATCGTTGTGCAATAACGCTAATGCCTACACAAAACGATTAACAATTTCATTCTGTTCTGAAACGGTGTAACGACTCGTTATCGTCATCGTTGTATCGTTGTCGTCGTCGTCGTTGTAACGCGCCTCGCTGAACAAATTAATTATCGCTAAACTCCATCGTACTGCAATGGCGTGAAAATTTTTAACGATAATAAAGTTCCGTGTTTGAGAGAAAGAATTAAAGAAAGGAAGGAAGAAAGGAAGGAAGAAAGAAAGAAAGAAGGAAAGAAGAAATAAAATACCCAGCAACTTGCCAGCAGGGAGCTTATTCACCGCCACGACGATATCCCGTACTCCGAAACGGGTTCGAACGTTGACGCTTTGACTCTTGCACGCGTGTGTCACGCGATCACAGAGAGAAATAAATATATTGCGTACACGTATGTATTATCCGCAAACTCATTATTCGCACGTGCACAGCGTCGAACGCATCTTTTCACACGCGACGAACGTTTTCAATGATAGCCGAGGACCTGGAACCGACAGAGTCGCTTCCTCTGCACGTTCTTGGAAATCGTGCGTTCACGTTTTCATACAAGTTACACATCAAACGTATTCTGCGAATCATTGTAACAATTCTCGGAACCATTGTCCGCGAGTACATGACCACGCGACATCGACGATTCGAAGGGATAGTCGAAATTTCGTACTCGCCACTGTACGGGTCGTCGAACGATCGTCGTCGACGAAGTGCTCGCGATGCCTAATGTCAATCAGTAGCTTAGAGAAACCCGTGAATAATAATAATTATTAACCCGTATGTACGTGTATCACCGTGCGCCGTTCGGTTCGTTTTCTATCGTATTAGCTTTAGGCAATTTTCCATACCAGCGCCGAATTTTTGCAGCAAATCGCAGCGAAGAATTGTACAGAAGAGAACGAAGAAGAAAGAAAGTCTACTTCGTCCGATCCTTGATTATTTTCGTACGATTACCTCGCGATTAGACACGTGACGATGTCGCGAACCGACGTCTCATCCACGAACGATTATTATACGCTAATTGAGAACAGTGACCATCAACATCTAGCTTTCGTTCGCTCGTTCAATCGCGCTTCTCGCGTTTCATCGAAAACGTTCCTAAGAAACTAGCGCTACTCTGGTTTGCCTCTACGTTTGGCGCGAAGAAATATCGCGACGAATCGAGAAAATATAGGTGTTCGACAAATAGGTGTGCGACGATCCAGAACGAACCAGAGAAACAAGACGAAACGGGACAAGAAGCGGGAAAATCCATCGGTCGTTTACGTAACGATATGTGTACTGTCAGTAAGAAAGTTACCAACCAACTAGGTCAGTGTTAATGTCCCGGAACGAGAGATTATTATTTTATTCGAAGGGAAAACGTTTCCGTCAGGCAGAATAAAAATCTCTCTCGTTGTCTCTCTTCTCGAAAGAGAGAGAGAGGAGAAAAGAGAGAGAGAGAGAGAGAGAAGAGAAAGGTTCCGATGACTCTCTTGCTCGCAGTGCATGTTGATCGTCCATCGATGACGGCCACACGTCGTGGGAGCCATCGTCATTGCAAAAGATACAAAGTTGTGCGGGACCCAGAACGAAGAGATATTTCTATGTAGCGTTTAAATAAGAAGGATGGCTGGCCGGATATAGGGAAGAAGGTTGAGTGCATAGAGCATGAATGTGTAGAGGAATGTGAGAAAGAGGAACGCGTGCGTGATGTAGAGTCGCTTGATGAGGGATTTTCATGTGACAATTATATCTAGATGAGGATGTAAGAGAGATAAGGGACAGAATCGCGAAGATGATTTTCATTCTTTGTACATAAGAAAAAGAAAAAGAAAAAAAAAAATACACGTTACGAGGATCACCTGCCTTTTACTGTAAAGAAGAATAAGAGGATGAGGAAGAAAAGAAAAAAAAATGTGGAACGTAGCGAATGTTATTAAACGAGAGATGATAATTGCTGCGAAACGCCTCGTCTCTTGGCTGAATGTTATAAATCGGAAGAAAAAATCCTCTAAAAGGGCGACAAGCGTTTTACAAGCACCGTGGCCCTTTTTCTGGAAATTCCCTTTCGATCTATCCGCAGCTTCGAAATTTCCTTTCACCCCTTATATTATATCTTTTTTTTTTTTCTTTTTTTGCGTTCCTTCCGTTATCTGGTCACTCTCAATCTCTACGCGGATAGGCTTGAGAACCATGTCACGAACAATAATTGAACACGGAATATCGCGCGACGAGGCCTCCCGTGCGACCCTAATTCCGGAAACTCGGATCCCTCTATTTTACAAAAAGAAAGAACCAGCAATGTTTCTTCTGCTATTGATATATCGTTGATACGATTTCTTGCTTTGATATACATATAAATATAAATATAAATATATATATATATAAATATATATATAGTTGTTGAATTTATATTATCGTAATGTTAGATCGAGCGAGCGATCGAGGGTGGCACGAGACAGCCTCGAGGGTGCGACGTGCGAAGATATAATGTGGTAATGGATGTAAATATTATTATACATTCTCGTATAAAAATGTAATAAACTGAAGAGACGAAAAGAAAGATCGAGAAGAAAGTTACGGTTAGCATCGTTGCACCTAATAAAAAAAAAAAAAAAAAAAGAAATTAGAAACAACTGACATATTATTCAGGAGTACACTTACATACATACATATATACATACGTACATACATACATACATGCATATATACATACACGCAACACACACACAAGCACATGCATCACACATAAAGAAAAAAAAAACACATATACATATTCACAAACTACACGTAGCTTAACTGTCTCCTTAATATAGGTGTTGACATGTCGCCAGGAAGGATACGAGAGTATCGTTGAAACGAGAAAATGTCATTCGGAGGATTGAAAGAGATGAAAAAAAGGAGGTGGAGGAGGGTAAAGGAGAAGGGAAGCCACTTATAACTGACATAGAATAATGCAAACCTAACTATATTTACTGTGACATGTAATATCCTTAATGACAAAAAAAAAAAATGCGATCTACTTGATAGGAGAGTTGTTCTGCACAAACACGATGCTTCATTGATAATTATAGTGTCTCTCTCTCTGTCTCTCTCTCTCTCTCTCTCTCTCTTTCTCTATCTCTCTATCTTCAAAAAATACGTACCTCTCTATACCTTATGGCAATTAAATGTATCCAACACGATATTTTCGATCGACAATTCGTTTCGGGAAATCGAGAACGAACGCTATCCGCGTTCAAACGCGAACGACTATCGTTTCACTCGATTCGAGCTCATCAAACGAGTCACACGCATAGACACGCATCATCGAACGATCATTGTTAATTCTAATTGTAATCACGATCATTATCGTCGCCTCGATACAAGTATGGGGAATTCACACTCATCGTCATGTCGCGTAATTAGTATATAAAAATAAATTCTAAAATGGAAGAAACGAAGATATCATTATCACTGATTATCAAAAAAAAAAAAAAATAGGAAAAAAGAAGAAAACACGAGAATAAGAGGAGAAGGAGAGGAAAATAATATATTCGTGTAATAATGCTCGCGTGACGATCGGCTTTTTGGAACCGTCGCGCGATCGATTAATCGTACTGTAACGTGGACGATAAAAAACGATCGATTTTTCCGTCGACGTTACGAAAACAAACCCAAGCGAGCCAACGAGATTCTATTTGGAACATTTTAGGCAACTATTTTCCGTTCTTTCGTTTCTCCTTGGAATAGAATCTTGGTGTGCGCGTGTATCTTGAAACGAGAACAAGTTCTAAAAGGAGTGAGGAAAGAAAACGAAAAAAAAAAAAAAAGAAAACTGAACGACGCGTTCCGTTATATTCGACGAGTCCACGTGTCATTTTTAGAGCGTACGAAAGGACAAAACACTTTGTATGCACCTCCCCCTCCCCTCCCTCCCCCTCCCTCCCCCATTGTTCATGCCATTTGTATTGCGTAGATGGACCGATCGATAATTATAAACGAACGTGAGAGTTTTTTTATTATATATATATATAAATATAATGTAATATTAATATAATATTTATATTATATATATATGTATATATATAAATATATATATATAAAAGAGCGACAAGAATGAAACACTACTGTAACTACACCTGCCTCTTGTGAATAAATGCCTATTTGTTTCTTTTCAATCTCGTTGTTACTTGCACATCGATCGAACTTTTAAAAATTACGAAAAAAAAAAAAAAAGAAAAAAAGAATAGTTACCTAATGGATCTAATGGATCACTTAGGGGACAATATAGATCCGTAAAACAGATTTTTATTAAATAAATATTGTTGTCGTAATCGTTCAGGTGGAATCATACAGCTATCATACAATCTCGACGAATACAATCGTCGATTACTAATTTACAAAGAAGGCTACTTGCGCGCGCGCGCGCGAATTGCGAGCACATATGCTGCGCAGGCGCGTTAAGTGATCCGAAGAGCAACCGCTTCGTTGTTACTTAACACCGATCGTTAATTAAAGCTAAGCGTTCAGACTGGTTATGAAGAGAAAGAATGTCGAGGAACATCGTTGCGGTTGACCGACGTAAACGCGGGTGAAAAAATTTTTCTAACATGTTATTGCACTGTCGTTGTGTAAAAGAATGTGGACTCACAGCTTTGTGATCGATTTCCATCGCTAACTAAACAACGCCTTATCCTCTTTCAATTTTCGAATCGTATTAATTGCAATTTCCTGGTCCATTTGGACGGATGGACGGACGGTTGGTAATGAACGGTTTAAAGCGAATTAAGTAAGAAAAAGATAAAACTCGAAAATACAAGCTTAAAATTCCCTTTCAAATTTTCAAAGTTCAATTTCATTTTCTTTACTCTTTTTAGTCAATTATATTATCGCCAATGTAAAATAACAATAGCGCCATCTTATATAAAATTTATCGCAACAATGATAAAATGTACATATATATACTATATATATATATATATATATATATATATATCATATCACAATCAACGATAAAAGAAATTTCATTTTCGTAAAATCTAACGTAAGACACACGATTCTATCACAAACGATTTTTAATATATTTACAACCATGAATTTAAAAGGATAGACTTCCTTTAGGCCGTGCCATTGCATCTCGCCCGATAAAAATAAAACGGGAACGAGAATGCCGACTATAGTTTCGCTTAAACGTATCGCTCGTGTATAATGATAAGTTTGTACCCGCTAGTCCGGAGATCTTTACGAGAATACGCCACTAGAGATCGTTGTTACCGTGGTAACAAATCGTTCCATGATTACAGGAATAACGAGACGTTCACCCAAAGGGAAAAGAAACGTTCGCTAAGGTATACTAAGTAATCGTTCAAGTTAAGCCGACTGCCGCTTTTCTTCTTTTCTCGATCTGCATCGCATAAACAATCCAAGAAGAAGAAACTTTCTTTCGTTGTTGTTGTTTCGAACACATATTTCGTACTTTTCGAGATTTAAACAAAAAAAAAAAAGCAATATATCTATTGTCAAATACATTTTAGGAAAAAACATAATGCGAGGAAATCTACGCTAAGGAAGATAAAAGTCTCGAGATCGAAGCACGATCTCGCGATCTTGGTAAATAAGGGACGAGTTTTCTGATAAACTTGTCAGTTGATATAAACGATGCACGCAAAGCGCCTTCTATGGCGTGTTGCCGCTCGACTACGGATCTAATCTATCGGTTTCCAAACACGAAGAAATGAGCGGACGAATGGTCCCTGATACGCTAGCGCTACCGTGAAAAGATTTTATTGGAAAAGATCCTTTTTCGAGCGCAGTCTTCTTCTCTCACCGTGCAACGGCAAACTCTCTTCAGTTCGATTTCGCGCGACAAATTTTACGCGAATAGTCATTTTCGTCAAAACAGACCGAACATCTTTTTCGACGAGCCGGTACTCCGTTTTTTCCTGGCTGGTGCCACAATTTCTGAATTTTCAGAGTTCGTAGCAGCGATAGAGCTCGCGACAGGCATCAATTTGCTTCGAACGTGTTCGTCGAGAAGAGATTGCATGTCCATCTGCCATTGTTCCAATTGTTGACTCATAAATAATAATATATATATATATATATATATATATATATATATATATATCCATATCACAATCAACGATAAAAGAAATTTCATTTTCGTAAAATCTAACGTAAGACACACGATTCTATCACAAACGATTTTTAATATATTTACAACCATGAATTTAAAAGGATAGACTTCCTTTAGGCCGTGCCATTGCATCTCGCCCGATAAAAATAAAACGGGAACGAGAATGCCGACTATAGTTTCGCTTAAACGTATCGCTCGTGTATAATGATAAGTTTGTACCCGCTAGTCCGGAGATCTTTACGAGAATACGCCACTAGAGATCGTTGTTACCGTGGTAACAAATCGTTCCATGATTACAGGAATAACGAGACGTTCACCCAAAGGGAAAAGAAACGTTCGCTAAGGTATACTAAGTAATCGTTCAAGTTAAGCCGACTGCCGCTTTTCTTCTTTTCTCGATCTGCATCGCATAAACAATCCAAGAAGAAGAAACTTTCTTTCGTTGTTGTTGTTTCGAACACATATTTCGTACTTTTCGAGATTTAAACAAAAAAAAAAAAAAGCAATATATCTATTGTCAAATACATTTTAGGAAAAAACATAATGCGAGGAAATCTACGCTAAGGAAGATAAAAGTCTCGAGATCGAAGCACGATCTCGCGATCTTGGTAAATAAGGGACGAGTTTTCTGATAAACTTGTCAGTTGATATAAACGATGCACGCAAAGCGCCTTCTATGGCGTGTTGCCGCTCGACTACGGATCTAATCTATCGGTTTCCAAACACGAAGAAATGAGCGGACGAATGGTCCCTGATACGCTAGCGCTACCGTGAAAAGATTTTATTGGAAAAGATCCTTTTTCGAGCGCAGTCTTCTTCTCTCACCGTGCAACGGCAAACTCTCTTCAGTTCGATTTCGCGCGACAAATTTTACGCGAATAGTCATTTTCGTCAAAACAGACCGAACATCTTTTTCGACGAGCCGGTACTCCGTTTTTTCCTGGCTGGTGCCACAATTTCTGAATTTTCAGAGTTCGTAGCAGCGATAGAGCTCGCGACAGGCATCAATTTGCTTCGAACGTGTTCGTCGAGAAGAGATTGCATGTCCATCTGCCATTGTTCCAATTGTTGACTCAGTTCGATCTTCTGTTGGATAGCTTCCATCAGTTGGCTGTTGGCCTGCAGCACATCTATCCTCGTTTTCGCCAACTCCACCTCGACCCTGTTCTTCCTGGACACGGCTTGATCCCTGACCTCGTAAGCCTGCGTCAAAATTTCGTCCTTCGTCAACTGCGAGTGCTCCATATCGTCCCGAGCTCTGTCGCGTTCCTCCTTGACGCCGCGCAATTCGGCCTCCCTCACGCTCAATTTGCTCGTGACATCGAGCAAAGCCTCTCCACGCCTTTTAAGTTCCTCCTGCGTCTGCTTCTGTTGATCCTTCGCGTTCTCCAATTCTTCCCGCACCCTGTGAAGTTCCACGGCCAAGCCTAGCTCGCCGGGCGCCCCTCTACCAGATAGAGCCAAGTTGTACACCTCCTCGATCAGCTCCAACAAAGCACCGGGACAATTGGTCTGCAAAAAGAAAAAAAATAAATAAACAAATAAAAGAACCACTCGTGCAAGGAACATATGGCGAGCCACTTGCGAGCATAATGCGTATTGAAACTCGGATCAATCGTGCGGAGAGATATCTCGCGGCAAATTGCAACGAGAATCTTATCGGAGCAGTGCAAATGAAAGCAGCCGTGTAAACGTGCGAAATAAAAATACGAGAGCAAATATAAAGCCAAAGCGTTTTACAACGCTTGAAGGCTTAGCTGTTCTGAAAAACACTCTCGATTCTACGTTATCTATACGATCGAGAGTGGTGTTCCGAGCACGGGTGAACCGAGCACGTTTCATCAAGTTTTCGTGGCCGAGGTTCCCCATATTGCGTTGCCGGAAACCGGAAGTCGGAACAAAAGGAGCGAGTTACGCGAGTCCCTTACCGAGCTGGGGAGAGTCTCTTGCCCGTTGGTGTTCGCCTCCTCCGCTTCCGCAGTGTTGTTGTTCACGATCACGAGCATGGACTCGTCGCAATCGCTCTGCAAACCCGAGTCGTCCTCCCCCCGCCTCAGATGGACGCACAACTCCTTCAACCGCTTCACCGCCCTCGCCACCTCTGCACGCAAATCCTCCTGTTCCCCCAACGAACTTCCGCTCTCCTCGCACTCCATCTCGGCCTGCAGGGACCTCGGTGGTTTCTGTATCGAGCCGGATCTGCCTCTCCTTTCCGCCTCGATGACCGCCAATGTCGCCGCCAGTTCGTCCCTGCGGATTCGATCCATCGTCAATGATCAACGTCGATCGCGCGATAAATCCCTTCTCTAAAGAAACCGATCGATCCTCCCCTACGTTTACACACCAATGTTTACCGCATATGGCGAACGATAAGCCAACGAAAGAGACGAACAAACACGATTAGCTTAAAGAAAAATCGATCGACTGCTATATATACCTTCCTCTATTTCCTGCCAATATATTTTCTATAATATTTTTATCCTTCCCTCGCATACGGAGAAAAACTGTCGTTTGGAAATACGAAAAAAAGAAAAATAACGTACAGAGATCGTGCGTAAATTACATCGCAAAATACTTTAGAAATCGTCGAGTGACGAAAAAATAATTAAACCTCACCTTTCCCTTTCGGCCAGCTTCGCCCGGTGTTCCGCTTCGTGGCCGAGCCGCTCCAAGGCCGTGGCT